AGACTTCAGTGGCTAGGGAAATACAGTAGGGAAACACCCACAATGTGGGTGAAACACAGTCTAGTGTTCTCATTTGTGTATGTTTGAACTCTTATGTACCAATAATGGTGTTTCAGTGTCCTTATGGATCAGAAAGAAGTCCCACTCTTCCTTTCTCCACTTTTCCCTATTACGTTTGAAAAATGAGGGCAATGTGCTTCTTGAGTCTAGTCCCTAAGGGAGAGATGTTTATTATAACTGCCATGTACCCCTAGGCTTCAAGGCCTAATCAGCAGAACTAGAAAACTTCCCAACTTTTAAATTAGAAATCTATAAGCAAATAAAGCCCTCGTTCCTTCTTTTAACAGCTTGGAAAAATGGAAGCGAATTTTAGAAGTTATTTTTCTTTTGTATTTGAGAATTATACTGTGCTGTCTATCAATTGATATTCTGCAGAGCCCCCTTCCTCTTCTCTCTCTCTCTCTCTCTCTCTCTCTCTCTCTCTCTCTCTCTCTCACACACACACATACACACACACACACACACACACACACACACACACACACACACACACACACCTTTTGAATTTAGGAAGTGCAAAGACCAGATGGAAGTAGAGAAAAACATTATTTTGGAAACAATTTTTAAAAGGTTCTTTGGGTTTTTTGAGACAGAGTTCATATATTCCAAGTTGGTCTCAAACTCACGATGGCTTTAAACTCTTGATCCTCCTGCTTCACCTTCAGAGTGCTGAAGGATCCATGGCACCACACTTGGATCAACGTTTTCATTCTAATTCTGTGCTTAGAAAACAATGCTTTCTTTTTTAAAATTAAATTGTTCGTGTGTATGGGTGTCCCTCCTGTACGTACGTATGTCTGCGTACCACATGTGTGCAGTACCCACAGAGGCCAGACGAGGATGTCAGGTACCCTAGGACTGGAGTTCCAGACAGTTAGGAGCTGCGAAGTGGGAATCAAAACCCAGGTCCTCTGGAAGAGCAGCTATTCATCTTAAACCCCTAAGCCATCTCTCAAAACCTTAGAAAATAATGCTTTCTTAACTTTTTCTCCTCTGTCTCATTCCTACTACAAATCGTGTAACACTCTTCTTTTCATGGCTATTATCTTTCTCCCTGAGAGGAAATTAAAAACAGAAATAAAGTATTGTAATCTCCCCACATTTCATCCAATGAAGGAGGAACTCTGGGTGAGAAGAGCCGACTGCCCACACCACCGCAGGGTTCTCTCCGACTCAGCTTTGCATTGACAAACCATTCGGCATCCTGTGAGAGCTACAGGGAAAAGTCCAACCCAGGGAGGAGGAAACTCGTTTTCCTTCGTTCATTTTGGTATGGTTTAGGGAGGATATTGCTTACACACAGCTTGTTCAATGAGAAGAATAAAAAGGGAACCAGACAGAGAGCAAGAAGATAAAAGCAATACCTCACAAAGCCTGGGTTTGTGAGTCTTTGATATGTCTGCCCTCTGTCCCATTCTAACTGCATCTGCTGTCTGAAGATGTGTGCATTGCCTCTCAGAGCTCTCTTAATCCTCGCCAAGAGATTCTTAAACTGTCTGAAGCTGGATGATGGTATATCAGTAGGTTTAGCTCTTAATCTGCCACTGAGCCAAAATCTAGTATGAAAAACAGTTTTTCTACCTAGATGCTATGATTTGGACATAGTTTGAGGTATGTCCCTTAAGGTTTCATGTGTTTGAAATTTAGAGTGTAAAGACTTAACCTGTCTATAGCAATATGAGTTGGGTCTTTGGGAAATGATTGGAATTAGATAACAGTGATTATGGTACCCCCATGATGCAATCCTGATGCCTTTCTAAAAAGAAGGGAGACCAGAGGACATACACACCCACACATTCCCAGTCTACAAATCCTGTGCCACCCCATGACTCAGTTAATAAGACCATCAGCAGCTATGACCCCTAACCTTAGACCCCCCCAGTACTGTGAGCCAAAGTAAAATTACTTTATAAAGTTAATCTGTGATAGTCAGTTAGTAGCAACAGAAAAATTGACTGATACATGGTGAAATTGGTTTCTTTAATAATATCACCTTTCAGATGAAACCCTAATTCTTTGCTTTCACATAACCATAATTTATGGGACACCATGAAAGTTAAGAATTTAAAACAAATTACTTTTAACAGTAGGAGACTTGGTCCCTTACAGTAACCATTGTCTTCAACTGAGTTAATAAAGAGAATGATGAATTTGGAGTAAGGAAATTCAAGATTGAATTTAAAATTCACCATTTACTAGTTGTAAAACAAAACTTCATAAAGATTCAGTCCTCGTCTGGAAAATGAGGGAAATCATGTCAGCTCTGTCTGCCTCACCATAATATTTTAAAAGAAAAAAAGATGCATTAAAAAGTTCTATAAATAAAATTTTTTAAACAAATACAATCTATTAGTGTTGTTGTGCTTGTTAGCTTAAGGGAAGACCACTGAGGAGAATATGGAATACAAACAAACAAGCAAATACATATACAAGAAAAAAATGGAGCTCAATTTTACCATGGCACAGCAGAAAGAAACATCTGTTTAACAACTGAAATAACAGTGGTGATTTTAAAAAAACTAAAAATTAATATAATCTTTGCAGAAGTCTCTCAACAATAGCGAGTGTGAATTTTATCCCAACACATAGCAAAGGTCCTTGAACTTTTCTTTTTCATCACTCTGTACACCTTTTGTCTTCTCAGTTCTTCTCCAAATGACCCTCAAACCTCAAAACATCCCCTTAAGCCAGTCTATTTCTTTCAGCATTTAGACCTATTGCTTCATCCTCCGGCCCCTCTGTCTTCCCGTATGACAGACAAGTTCTTTTTCTGCATCCTTTTCATTCCACTTCTTCACCTCTCACACAGGTTCTATACAAAAAGATCCATAAAGTCCACTGAGAAACATAATGGAACAAGAGAAAAAAAAAGTTCTGGCTATTTGGGGTTATTGTTTGTATGTCACAATAAGCATTGTATTGATTGTCTCTTCATTTTTCCAAATGTGAAGTAAAAGCTCATATTTGAAAACTCATATTTTCCAAGTGGTTGCCCCCTATCCTGTTTACAGAGAGACACTGGGTTCTCTGTCAACTCCTAGACACCATTCCATTTAACTCTTGGTATTTTTCTCTGATCAGCTGTTCTTTCTATTCTTTCAAAGTTTTTAGTAACTATACATTTGTTTGCCATGCATCCATCCACTCGGTCTAGAAGAGAGATCCCAAATACATGACGCACTGCCGTTATCTCTCCTTCTCGTGTTCATTGTAGACATCACATCGCTAATAAATTACTGCATGCTTTCCTGTGGAGCCTAGATTGTAATCCCCATGTTCTGGTGAGCTGTTCTCAAACTTTGCTATATATCCTAAGCTCTGGAGGACTTACTAAAATAGAGATTACCTTGGACTTTCTAATGTATTAGGTCTGTGGTAAGGACCAAGAAATTGCATTTCTAACCATGTTCCCAAGTACTGCTGATGGTTCTGGGTTGACGGGCAGGGGTGTGGTGTGTGTGTGTGTGTGTGTGTGTGTGTGTGGTGTGTGTGTGTGTGTGTGTGACATCCAGACTCTAAGAAACGGTATTCCAGCGAACTACCAGCAACTCTAAAGACAGCTGTCCCATAAGTAGGATCCTGTTGTATCTCTTGTGTTGAACAACTTTTCTCCATGGGTCTATAGAAACCATGTAATGGCCATCTGAAGCAAGTTAGATGCCTTAGTCATTTAGAATTGCAAGTGTCCTATAAAAGCTGTCTCCCCATTGATTCAGAAAGCTCTGGTTTCTTTTTTCCAAAATCCTTCCACTCAATATCACGTATCCTCCATCACAAATCCTTAGTTTTGGACGTAATTCCAAATTTTCATACTTCCTGCTGTAGCACATCAAGTCAATTTCCAGGTCCACCTTTGATGAGATAAAAATCAATGGAAGGAGCTCTGGTTGCCTTAGAAGATAAATTGAGTAGAAATCGGGAGGCTTTCCAACAGAAGGAAAGGGGGGCGTAAGCAGAATAAACCAACCAAGAGACATTTTGCTAGACTTTACCTGCTTCTGTGCAATCAAGCATTCATTTTGTGGAACTAAATGGTTAAAATTTAGGAGGATATGTACCTTTTTAGATACTAAATTTAGTGCTAGATAAAATCTATTTCCCAGTAGAAACTTTTAAATGTCTGGTAAAAATACTTAATTCGATGTAGTAGTTGTTGTTGTTGTTAAACATTTGTTTCTTTTTTTTTTTTAGTTAGTGTCTCTGTGTGGGTACATGCACATCAGTGCAGGTATACACAGAGGCCAGAAGAGGGCACTGGATCCCTTGGAACTGGAATTAGGTTACAGACAGCTGTGAATACCTTCATGTAGGTACTGGGAACCAAACCTGGGTCTTCTGTAGAAGTAGTACATGCTCTATATGCTCTTACCCATTGAGCTATCTCTGCAGCTCTTGTTTTTTGTTTTTCAAGATTTATTTATTAATTATGCATACAGAAGAGGGCACCAGATCTCATTACAGATGGTTGTGAGCCACCATGTGGTTGCTGGGAATTGAACTCAGGACCTCTGGAAGAACAGTCAGTGCTCTTAACTTCTGAGCCATCTCTCCAGCCCCCTCTTGTTTTGTTTTTTAATAAGACATTGCTATAGCTTTTCTTTAGTATTTCTCATGCACAAAGAGTGTGACATTTGTTCTCTAGGTTCTCACAATGTTCCTCATTCATTCAGTGTTATGGTTTTTCACACTTTATTTAGCAGTAAAATCTTTTAGTAAACAAAATCTTTCAATAGAAGACTCAATCAGCCACAGTGCTCACATGGCAAACTCAAACACAGATGGACAGCCCCAAAGGGTGAGTATAAAGCTTCTTAATGAAGGGACTATTCACAAAAACCTGTGCTGGGTAGAGGGAAACGGACAAAAAAGGTGAGATTTCCTCAAGACTGGCGAGTACCACTTCCTCTAGACATGAAATGGCAAAGAGGGGGCAGAATGGTTACCAGAAGCCTAGAAGGGGATGCAGCTGTAGTAGAAGGAAGGCTACCAGATATGAAGTGTGGACTCTGGTAGATGTAAACAACCATGACCAAACCACAGCCACAAAAGAAAAGAGTCAGGGGAGTTGATACCTTTTCCTTCTACCTTCCAATGTCTGGATGTTTTCTTTGATTGGCTGGGCCCAGTCCGAATGCTTGAGGACAAGGAAATTCAGCTGACAAGGTCTATCAGAAGCCAGCCTCCTATGAACAGAGAGGCAAGGTGGAACAAGGCAAGGAAAAACAAAACAACAACAACAAAAAAACCCTAAACAGATCAACAAAGGATGTGCACAGCACAAACCCCCAAACATGAGACTCATGGAACAATTTCTCCTACTGAATCAGGATGGAGAGGTACAGAGCCAATCACCATGTCTCCCTCTCTGCTGATTCATTGGACCATAGAATCTCTGGGGCACCCCTGCTGAATTCTGGTCTAATCCTTATGTTATGAATACCTCAGCCACAGTCAACAATAGGCCTGTGTGCTTTGCACATAACTATGTCCTAAAACCACGATTGTGTGTATATGCTCTTCACCACTGAGCCTTCTCTGCAGCTCTTGTTTTTGTTTTTAATAAGGCATTGCCACAGCTTTTCTTGAGTATTTTTGCATTCACAGAGTGTGACATTTGTTTTCTAGGTTCTCCCCAGCGCTCCCGGTTCATCCAGTGTCATGGTTTTCCAAATTTTATTTAGTAGTAAAATTCTTTGCTAAACAAAATCTTACAACAGAAGATTCAACCAGCCACAGTGCTCATAAGGCTGTATATGTTCTTAACCTGGAGTTACCATACTGTGACAAGAAGGGCACCAAATCTGTCCCTATGCATGTGATCACACTGAGGGCCTCAGAGTCTGGAAGCCTGATGGCTACATCATTTGTATATGATAGGTAGGTTTGTTGAAGACATTTGTTCCCCCATCCACAGGCTCCGAATTGATAGGCTAAATTTGGGAAGACTCATCAGTTATTAAGTGCAACCCTCCCCAAAAGAATTCATGATTAATTTTTGTGTATACATTGAATTTTGGAAAGGATTTTATACCCAAATATATTAAAAATATGTAGTTACTGACAAGAAAAAAATAAGGAGATAGATGAGAAGAAAGGGGAATTAAAAAAACAAGATAGTGGTAAAAAAAGGGTTAAGATGACAACCAATAATATTAACCTTATTATTAATCAGAAAAGCGATCACAGAGAATCTACTGATCAAAAAATGCAAAGCCTAATGCTGCCATCAGTAACCAGAAGCAATGTCCTCCAAATGTGCTCTGAAGCACAGCCTGGCTTCCTTCACGGAGGCTGCTGCAGGTCTGTCAGTCACTGGGCCAAGTGGTGAGCACACCCTCTGCCGCTATGCAGAGAAGTCAGAGGAGGGAAGCCAAAACTGAGACAGGGATGGGCAGGGATGGAGAGGTGCCAGCACACAGGAGCCAGACTGCCAGATATTCTGTCACAGGAGCTGCTGCTTAGATCTCCTGGTTCACTGGAAGAAGGGCATGGGGAAGGGCTGGCGGTATGGGGGTATGGGAAAAGATGTTGCTTTCAGTCTCAGTAGCTGGAGTGGCCTTCACAAGGAGCAAAAATAAGCTGAACAGAAGAGAAAGGCACAGCTGTTCTTTGCTTTCTTAGCTCTCCAGATTTCTTATTTTATCATGTGTTGGTGCAGCTGCACAGCCAGAGGAGCACGGGCTTCCTCTATGCCAGACCCAGGTAGGGATTAAGGTAGAGTGAAATACAGTCAGGCTGCATCGACCCCAGTGCCCCCTGCACCCTCCCACACTGGCCCTATGCCCACCTTCACTGCATGCCTCTCTTCTAGACTGGCAAGACTGGAATCAATAGAAAGCCTTTGTCACACATAAGATGGAATGCAAATCATTTTACATATATTACCATATTTAATTCTCAAAGCAAAAGTATGAGGGAGTACCATTATTATCATATGCTTTTTGTTTTTGTGTTTCAGATGGGAAAGTTAGGAGTTAGAAAGGTCAAGAAACTCAATGGAAAAATAGTAAGCTGCAGTTTGGGCCTTGGGAAGTTGCCTTTAGTAACTAAACTTAAACATTGAGCCATCTTATCTCGATTGTGTATACCCAGAACTCGACTTACTGCCTTGTTTCCTCAGAGTCTCTGGGATTCACTGTTTTTAGCCCTTTACTGGTCATTTAACCTCTGATTTCCAATTGTTTTCTCTGTCAAAGATGCTAGGCTTTTATCCTTATGAAGGCCTGTCAGAAGCCACCCTATGGGTTAGCCAGAGCTGATCAGTGATGTCAAGCATCCAGGTAGGCCTCAACTTATAACCCATTATAACCCCATTTTGACATATTTTAATCTTTGCAATGTAGTCCCACTGTGCCATCAAACTTGCCACCCTTCTGCCATAGGTTTACAGGTGTGCATCCTCACATCAGGAGCCCAGTTTCACAACTCGTAGTGGACACAGAACCCTACCTAGAAATGTAGTTCCATCAAATGCAGAGCACTCCCAAACACTGAGCATCCTTTTTATAAGAAGCTGGACTATTAGCCTGAATCCATGGCAGTATCCACAATAAGTGATGCTCAAGGCAAAACTGAGTACCAGTGAAGAGGAAAACAAGTCACACTCCTGAACCACATTGCCAAGACTTTTCAGAGAATTAAGGGTGATTGAAATGCTCACATATAGGACTTTGATTGCAATTCAGAAAGTCACAAAGTCTTCCTTATTTAAAAACCCATGAGTTTAGAATGGCTTTTTGGTTGGTTGTTGAGAATACTTAAAATAGCTGAAGAGAATGGAAAAAAAAAGACATTTAAAGTCTCTCTTTTTAAATTAGATAATGTCCATTCTTCGTGTGCATATTTTATTATTGTAGGAGTAGATTTTAGACTGTTTGGTTCCTGCATGTATCATGGAGCATGGTGCCTCAGTTCCATGTCCTCTGCTTTCTTTCTTTTTCTGAGTAATGCTTTAACCATTTTTATGGTATATTTGGCATATGGATATAGTCATACATATGCACTCACTCAGATTTAAATGAAAGTGTTATTTTAAGAAAATTCAAAGTAAACTTTATATGAATCACGGAGGCAGTTACTTTGCTGATTTTGTTTTCCTCTCTCCACTCAGCCCCGGTCTTTGTGATGCAGACTCTGTCCTCTGCTCTGGAGAATAAAAGGATATACAGAATGACATGTGTTTAAAGGCTTATCTCAGGGGTTGTTTGTGGGCTTCGTTTTAAAGCTTAATTTCAAGCTTGGGATTCATTTGATTCTTTGTGTTAGGGCAAAGCTGGCGGAGGGAGGAAAATCTTAAAATGACCAGGAGAGAGTGGCTATGGGAACTGTAACAAGGACGCTGATCCTCTGTGGCTCAAGAGGTCTCTCGAGAATCAACCAAATCGGAGGACCTGAGTTGTACTCATTCTCAGTTTCCACTCTAAATACCACTCAGCTACCCATAGTCTCAATTTCTAGGTTTCTTTATTGGAGGGAGGGAGGGGAGATAGAGAGAGAAACCGACTGGCCAGCCTATACATTGGTTCTCATTAAGTCACATGACAACCTCTGTGGTCCATGTACCCAAACAAAGTGGAAGTGAGTTACTTGCCACCAACAGAGTTAGCAGAGGTACATTAGAGATTGTTCCAGTAGATCATATTCTCAAGTATACATGTGTGTGTGGAGTTGAATGTGTGTGAAGGCAAAAATTACAAATATCAATTTATAATATATGAATTCAGGAAAATCTAAAATGGATAAACAACTATCGTTCTCTTTATTTACGTTTTTTTATGATACATTTGCACGCACATGTGGGTCACAGCACATGGGGAGGTAGAAGACAACTATCAGGAGTCAGCACTCACCTTCCAACATCTTAAGACAGGGCCTCCCTTTAATCTCTGCTCTGTGCAGTACCCCAGGCTAGCTTGCCCAAGAGTTTCTGACTAACTCCTTGTCTCTCATCTCATTGTAGAAGTGCTGGGATCACAGAAGCATCCAGTTTGCTACATGGACCCGAGGGATCAAACTCAGGTCACTGGGCTAATAAGGTCCTTGTTCTTACCTGCTCCGGCATCTCCCCAGCCTGGTCAGGGTTCCTGAAAGTCTCTTCTTGTTTGTCAAAACCCTGTATTTTCCCTTTTAAAATCATTTGTATCATTTTATGTGTATGGATGTTTTATCTGCACATCTGTCTGTGTACTGTGTGTGCCTGTTGCCCTCAGAGGTCAGAAGAGAGCATCAGATCTCCTGGAACTGGAATTACGGTAGTTTGTGAGCTGCTGCATGTGTTTGCTAGGAATCAAACCTAGGTCCTCTGCAAGAGCAGCCAATACTCTTAATCACTGAGCCGCCTTTCCAGTCCTGTGTTTTTATTTTAGAGTTTGATCAAATATTGTGCATTAAAATATCTGTTCTTTGGCCCCTAAATTGTACCAAGGCCCAGGGACTTAGGTCATGAAAATTAATACATGAGAACAGCATACAACATAACAGTTGATTACGTCCTACATGTTTATTGGTGTGTTAGTGTGCTCGGGCTGCCATAACCAAGCTTTATAAAGACAGGATGAGTTAAACAGCAGAAATCAGGTTTTTTCCCATCTGGAAGCTGGAAGTCTAAGACGAAAGAGACAGAGGGTTAATTTCTAGTGCCCCTTCTCTTTGCTTGTCCAATTTCCTCTGTATCTTCCAGAGCAGTGGTTCTCAACTTCCCTAATGCTGCGGCCCTTCAATACAGTCCCTCATGTTGTGGTGACCCCCAACTATAAAATGATTTTTGTTGTTACTTCGTAACTGTAATTTTGCTACTGTTATGAATCTTAAAGTAAATATCTATGTTTTCCGATGGTCTTAGACAACTCCTGTGAAAGGGTCGTTTGACTTCCAAAGGAGTCGAGACCAACTGCTGTTCTAGAGTCTTCCTTCTGTATGTCTGTCTTAACATCCTCTTTATTTATTTAGCTAGTTAGTTAGTTAGTTAGTTTTTTCGAGACAGGGTTTCTCTGTATAGTTTTGGTGCCTGTCCTGGATCTCGCTCTCTAGACCAGGCCGGCCTCAGACTCACAGAGATCCGCCTGGCTCTGGCTCCTGAGTGCTGGGATTAAAGGCATGTGCCACCCGCCGCCCAGCTATAACATCCTCTTTATATGTGAAATATGTGCGCGGGTAATGGATGAGCCATATTGTGTCAGGGCCACCCTAACTTTCTTCATTTCAATGTATTCATATATTTCTTCAAAGCGGCTTACATTCTGAGGTATGAGAGCTTAGGGCAGCTGTTCTGAACCTATGGGTCATGACACCTCTGGGGTCGTATATCAGATATTTGCATTATAGTAGCAAAATTACAGTTATGAAATAACAATGAAATAATTTTATGGTTAGGGGTCACCACAACATGAGGAACTGTATTAAAGGGTCACAACATTAGGAAGGTTGAGAACCACTGGCTTAGGACTTCAACACATGAATTTTTGTGGAGTTATAATTTAGCCTATAACAGTCGATGTCCATTATTTGGAACTAGGAACAGAAAATACATTTTCCACATCTCTCCCAGTCTTCTGGTTTCCTCACTTTAACAAGCTACGAATAACCCACCAGAAAGCCACTAGCCTGGTCCTTCTCTGTATTTAAAATCTAATGTTGACATTCCTTGGTTAGGTAACTTCTGTGACCCACATCACCTTAAAGTTCAAAATTTTCCTATAGTGAAACTTCAGTTTCCCAGTCTTCCCAGACTCACTTCCAGCCACTCCTCTTCCACACCATGTGCATTGTCCTTAAAAATCTGTCTGTCCTCCTTTCTTCCTCTCTCTCTCTCTCTCTCTCTCTCTCTCTCTCTCTCTCTCTCTCTCTCTCTCTCTCTCTCTCTTTCTTTTTGAGACAAGATCTCTTGGTACATAGACCCAGGTTGTCTCAACCACGATCCTCCTGCCTCAGACTTTTGAGCACTGGGACTACAAGATGTGAACGATCATACCCAGTGAATTTCTGAACTGGGCATTTTATGTTCTTATTTAGTCTACATTTAAATCAATTTTGTATTACTGTGAAGAGGATGATGTCACCCCACTCCTCCCTACCATTACCTGCGCGCATATTTCAATTGCATTGTAAATGAAATAGCATTTGGGGTTACCTAGAAACCCAGCCTAGGATTTCTGATCGGTTCTATAAATATTTGTTCAGTACCTATCACGTGTCTGGCACTCTTGACATTTATTACATAAAGATGAAAAGCAGAGTCAGGCGTTCAGAAATCCACAGTCTAGCAGGGAAAAAAGACAGACAGAGAAACAAAGAACTGTAATACAGTGTGTCAAGTGCAGGAAATAGAAAGATGCATGCGGTCCTCTAGGAACGCAAGATAGATTAATTTTACCTGGAGTGGTCAGGAAGAGCTTTGAGGACAAGGGTTGGTATTGGAGCTTCAGTCACAGGGCTGCAGAAACAAAGGGAATAGTTATGGGCAGACACCTGCCAGGACTCCAGGGAACCCTGAGTGCTGCCCGGCCCTCTTCTCTCAATGAGGATCTAAAACGTGGGTTGAGCAGCCTTTTCTTTTGAATTGTCAGTACACAAGGAATCTAATTACACCCCTCTTCTCCAGACAGCAGCTGGTGAAGTTTGGACTCCAGGGGGCTCCTCTACACACCTGCCTGTCTGAAAGAAACCACCTTGGAATTCTGAAGTAACTTCTGTCTCAGGAAGAGCCCTAAAACGATTCCAAGGCACCTTTATGCTACGTCTCTCCAGAGAACTGAAAAATAAACTTACTTTCTGGGAAGTTCCTCTGTTACATATTATCATTTCATTTCAAAGTAGCTCTCAGTCTTGACTATTAGATTAGATTTGCCTGTGCGGACTTCAATGACACCAATACACCCCAGACCAATTAAACTAGAATTTCTAAGAATAGGGCCTAGGAGATGTATGTGTGTGTGTGTGTGTGTGTGTGTGTGTGTGTGTGTGTGTGTGTGTGTGTGTCTGTGTGTGTGTGTGTGTGTGTTCAAGCTCCCAGATGATTCCAACGTGAAACTTGTACTGAAAACTACTGATTTAGGGTTTATTGTGTTTTCCCCCTTAATGGAGAATTTAACTGTAATTCTCAGACTTCTCTAGATTGGGCTCAGGCCTACTTAATAGTTAGTTCTCTTGACCCTTAGCCTGAAATGCATCTCTTCTTGTTCTGGCTTATCTCAGTTTTGTAGCTTCCCTGATTTCTCTCAATGTTCATCTTCCTGATGAGTGTGTTCCTTCCTCGGGTTTTAGTCAACCGAGTCCAAGGAAAAGGTCTGCAACTTGCCCCACTTTGGAATCATTGTTTCTACAACTAAGGGATCCCCTTTGCTTAAGGATACAGCCTTCACCCAACTTAAGCTTCCTTAGAGCCAAGTCTTCACAGTTCTTCTTTATGTCTGACCTGCTCTCCAGCCCCGACCTTACTTTCTGTGTACTGTTTAGGGAGAGGAAGAAGGGAACAGAGAACTTTGGAGCCCAGACAGAGAGAGAGAAGGCTTTGGGATTAAGAGATGATAGACACACACCCCTCACCCTGAGACACAAGACTTGGTTTCTGCTCCCCCTTTTTCCTGATTGGAGGAGACCGTGGGGGTTGGGACTGGGCATGGGAGGGAAGACTGAGCTAACCAGCTTATACTCAGGTCAGCAACAGAATGTAGAAGAGAGGAACATAGTGACTGAGAAACCCCGGAGGCACTGAAGGGGAAATGAAGCTCGGACCAGGTGAAGATGCTGATGCTGCAGTCCACTGACTCCGGGAGAGCGGAGTTTTCGTCGCATTAACCAGCTAACGCCTGTGGATGAAGCAGCCCACACAAGTGTTGGCTCTAGCCAAGCTGCTCATTTGTCAGCATTGAAGTGACATCATGTAAATTCACAGGCAGATGCCAAAATTGGTGAAAACCATGAATCACTCAGAGTCTGTTGGCACTCACAGCTGTCTGGATGACCTCTAAGGCCCTTTTGGCTTTTTTTTTTTTTTAAGTAGTACTTTGAGAATTTTCTATAATGTGTTTTGATCATGTTTATGCCCTCCCCTGTAGCATGAATCTTAAAAGTTCTTATTAATAAAACAAACCCGGGGCCAGGTATTGGGGTGAAATGCTGGATGGTCAGAGAGACAGAACAGGCCACAGCCAACCTCACCTGGCCAACTTCTCAGCTGATCTGGTTTCCTCAGACTGGAAGCCTCTGAGTCCTCATATCCAAATGGCTCTCAGCTGAACTGTGCTGCTAGAAGCCTGAAAGCTTAACCAGCCAAATGCTTCTAGTTTCTGGTCCTCATGCCTTATAAACCTTTCTGCTTTCTACCACCACTCCCTGGGATTAAAAGCTCGCTTTCTGGGATTAAAGGCGTGAGTCACCATGCCTGGCTGTTTCCAATGTGGCCTTGAACTCACAGAGATCCAGAGGGATTTCTGCCTCTGGAATGCTAGGATTAAAGGTGTGAGTGCCACTATTTTCTAGCCTTTGTATCTAGTGGCTGTTCTGTCTCTGACCCCAGATACGTTTATTGGGGAGCACAATACCACCACACTCCCCTAACTCCTTCCAGATCCATGCCTTCTTCCCTACCTACCCAACTGTGTATCCTTTATTATTTTTTAACCTGTCAACTATATTTGTGCTGTCCATATACTCTTGATTGTGTGGCTTTCTATTGGAGAGTAGTTGACCTACCAAGGGCCACATATTCAAATAAGACTCTCCCTCACCCAGCAGCTTTCAACTGTCAATAGCTCCTTGGTTAGGGGTAGAACTTCCTGCCCACATCACCCCTCCATGCTGGGGTTTTGTCCAGTTTGAGCTTGTGGAGACCTTGTGTCTGCTATCACCACTGCTATGACTTTGTAGGAGCAGCTGTCCTGCTGTGTCCAGAAGACGCTGTTTCCTATAGTCATCCACAGCCTCCAGCTCTTACAGCATTCTGCCTCCTCTTCCACAATAATCCCTGAACCTTAAGAGGAAGCAGTGTGACATAGACTTCCCATTTCAGTCTTATAATTCCAGTCTGCACTCTAACTTCTTGTTAAAGTGTTAAAGGGTCTTCTTATTAAAGGGTCTCTGTGTTAGTCACTACCTACTGCAAAAAGATTTTCTGATGAAGATGCGCTAATTATATTAGACTGTGGGTATGGTGATAAGTCACTGGAAGTCTGTTTAATACTATGCCCATTTAGCAGAGTAATGGTAGCAGAGTCTCCTCTAGGGCCCAAGCCCTGTATAGGTCCCAGATCTTGGCCCTGATAACAGTGCCAGCTATGGAGCTGTGGAGTGGGCCTTAATTCCAGGCAGAATGCAGTTGGCTGCTCCTGTGACATTTATGCCACTGTTGGACCAGTGGGCATGTCTCTCAGGCTGATCATTACTGCAGCTCATAGGCTCACAGCTGGGTAAGATGGATACACTTTGCTCTTCCAGTTGTGTGCAAAGCACTTTCTGGCACTATGAAAGGTAGCCAGTTGGGACAAAGCTTCCAGGTAAGTACCAAGCTTGATTTCTCTATGCTCTACGATCCAGGTGTGTGGTATCTTCGTCAATAGGGTGCTATCTTTGACTTCAATGTGTGTTCCATTTGGAACACCCACAAAGGTCAGCAATCATAAGGGACATGAGGGGAAGACTCCAAGGGAGGGGTGATAGAATGCAGTGACGTAAGTGAGTAAAGGAAAATAATGCAACAGGAAAGGTGAAATGGAATGGAAGATGGGAAGCAGGGTAAAGAAGGGAATACTGGGGAGAGGAACGTATGAAAACCTACTACTGTAGATACTTCCCACAATACATATAAGCACATATATAAAAAAGGGTTTAAATGGAGTTAGCCCTAACAGGGCAACAAACCCCTTCTAGACACCAGAGACTAACAGATAAAAAGCCCAGGGACCATAATGGGTTGCCTCTTTTGGAGTTGTTGGCCAGCGAAGTCCTATAGATCCCCAAGCATTTCAGGCTATGGCCAGGGATTTTGATTACCTTCCAGAACCCCAGAACCTTGACAGCAAGACCTTTCCTAGCTTTTGGACTCTAACATTCTGTGATTCCAAGTGACTGCCATCAACCTAGCAAGTCCCAAAAAAGTGCACTTGGGTGATTTCCAAACAGCTTGTGTTCTGGTGCTACTTCATTTTATGTGAAAAATGAGGCACTTTCCACGCCAAGGAAAGAAGCTTGCCAAATGGCAATTTCCAACATAGGAACGACCCACTGTTCCTAAACAAACCTCTAAATGGTATAAAAACCCAGGACAGCACATTTAATAAGTCCCTACTAGGGGAAAAGAGGTGTTTGTCAGTGAGAAATCTTACTCTTCCTCCTTCCTGGTCACCTATAAACAGCATTCCCTTGGGTCCATGCGTTTGAAGCCATACCCACCTCCCTTTGCTAGGGACAATCTGTCCAGCCTTCTGTGGCTTTCTAAGCTTACTTGTTCAAAGGCACCATGGGGGTTTTGGTCTCTATTTCTGATGCCTCCAGGTAGTAAACATCGTGCCAGTTCCTTCTGGACTGGGCACCACTGACGGCCGAGAACTCAGCGGAAACAGGGCTCTGCGAAGATGGAAGTGGACCATGTGTTCCCCTTGTGAGCATAACAGGTCTCTGGGCTCCTGCTGAGGGAGCAGCTGTAGCCCCACACCCCATCCTTATCAGACCCTGCCTCCCTCTTTTTAATCACTTGTTCTGGCTGCTCTTCTTCCTGCCAACAATAGCTCGTGATGATTTCACACACAATGCCCATCTCTTCGTGGTGCGGTATAAACAGTGAAATTACAATGGAAAGGATAAACAGAGAACCCAGGGGAAGTCTTAAAATGTTCTCCGTCTAGTCATGAATTGGAAATATTGTGGATTTTGTGTTGTTATCCTTTTTTTTATTTTTGTTTTTAATTCCTATTTCTGGAATTCTCTTACCATATTAAAACCTGTGTTAACAGGAACCCAACTGTGGAAGCAGAGTTCTATGGCACTCTATTTTTGGAAAGAAATGAAGGGTGAGAAAAGAAGAAGATATCATTGATTTTTAAAAATTAGATAAACATGTAATAAATGATTTGATGTTAGTAAGTTAATATCTAATTAAAATTAGATATGATGGATTTAATATTTCTAAAAGAACAAAGGATATTATGATGTAAAATGAACTGGTACAATCTTAGAAATTTTTGTTGTGGACATCATTTGCAACATTTATGGTAACTAGTCAGAAAGACTCATCCATTCTACAAAATGCTCAAACTCTGAAAAAAGATTGACATTATCTAGTAATCCAGTGTCTTCAAATTATCTAGAATTGTAGGACTGATGATATGATCTTAAGAGGGGAATAGTTCAGTTATTTTTTTTTCCAGATCTGGGGATAGACCATATTCCTCAGATGAGAAATCCAAGTCAAATGGGAGAGTTGTGCATGCCTATGATCACAGCCTGTAGGGGTTGAGGCAGAAGGATTATAAGTTCAAGGCTAGCCTAGGCAACAAAGTGAGACCCTGCCTCAAAAAAAAATCCAAGCAAGTAAATAAGCAAACATTGGGAGCCTCGTTGCCATCGTCCTTGGCTACCCACAAGAACTTAATGGGAAGACCCTGCTGCTGAAGACACAACATACTTTGGGCACAGGACATGCAGAAATCAAGTTGATTCTTGTCTGGAAGTGTCCTCTCTGATGGCTACCTTTCATAGTGCCAGAAGTGCTAAACAGACTGCTGGGGAAGAAAAGTCCTCACCACTCTACTCCAGCTGTTATCTCTGTGATCCACAACGATG